AAAATAAATAAAATAAAAATGTTAACTAAGTTAAAAATGCTAATGATGTTAATAACGTTGATCATTCGTCAATCTTTATGATGTAGTAGGATTGACTTCATATGGTATTACCGATAAAACTAACAAAAACTGATGAACCTATCAAATATAACATATATGTCAAATAGGATATATTTATAATTTATATTATTTCTATTATTATTATCATTATTATTATATCTAATATATATATTATTTATTTCATATTTAACATAATTAGCATATTTGTTAGCTCTGTTATTATTATCAATAGTATCATAAATATTATAGATTTCTTTAATTATAATTTCCTATATAAAGTATATGAAAATGCCTTAGAAAAGGATCCCAACATTATATTCAATCTATCTTTAATAATAATAATAAACAATATTAACATTTTGCAAATATAAAACTTATAATTTTATTCTTATTAACTAAATAAATTCTTTAACAAATAGTGTATCAAGTTAATTAGATTTAAGTTATAGCTATTATCTTTCTAACTTTAAATCATAGTTAACTTATTCAATGGAAAAAGTAATGTTAATACTAGTTAATTAATTAAATCTTAATTAACCATTAATTTCTCATCCTTAATCATACTGTTCAGCAAAATCTACATGTAACTAAAAGTTGTGTGAGGCAATCGAATCCTATATATATACTATAGTATACTCACACTTCTTGAAACAAAGCAAATCTCTTTCTTTCAATATCTACAGAAAAGTTTCTTGATTATTCTGATAATCTACTTTTTTTATTGGCTTATGTTAGATATTAATTATTTTTTACTTTTGCTTTACAATTCTTTATGATTATATCATTAATACTCTTTTAGAAAATATATCTTATTTGCATTTTCTAAACTCTAACAAAAAAACTATTAAACACTCCTACTGTATGCAAAGATTTAGAATGCTAATTACAATTCATGAAGTTAATGCTTGCTAAAAGAAATAGAAAACTTGAAAGATAAAGTAGTAAAAAGGGTAAACATATTTCTTACAGTTTTTTTGCAGAAAGGTAACTTTATCAAGTAAATCATAAATCTAAAGTATAGGTAAAATCCTAGCCTAAGTGATAGTATAAACACTCTTGATATATAAATCACGAATAGAATATAAGTAAATCTTAGTTCTACTATACACGACCCATTTTTCTTCACATCCTTAAGCTTTTTATAGTGAATTAAAATTATGATATATAGTACTTATATTTTTATTTAAAGGTTATACTCAAATTTAAAAATGTGAAATATCTACAAATGTTCTGAACATCGATAATTAATCTGCAAGTTCAGGTTTATTACTTAAAATACTCAAGTTTTGAAAAAAAAATTTTAAGTGAGTTTGTATAAGAAGTAAACTATTTTTTTAAAACAAACAATCTAGCTTATTTTTATGTGATAAGATATAAGAGTTATTATGCATTACTTCTAAGAAAACTAGCATTTAGATACTAAAAAATCTCATTTTTCTTAATATTAGTTTTTTATCACTGAGAAAAAGTTTCCTTAGAGATTTCTAATTCCAAAAAAAATGAATTTTATTTACTTCTTTATAATCTTAACTTAATTATTTGCAATTCTTACACAATTCTTATATTATCTATTATTATATTAGAAATCTATCAAAGATATGCTTGATGAAGAGTGTATTCAATTGATAAAGTTATTAGAAGAATTTCAAATTCAGGAAGTTGAAGATTTGTATAATTCATCATCTAAAGCACAAATAGAAAATTTAGAAAAGGTTTTGAATAGATTTTAATCATCATCAAAAAAGTCTAAAAGAGATAAAAATGAATAGCTATGAACTTCTGAGGATAAAGTAGCATGTTTCTAATGTATAAATCTCAATAAGAATGTCTTCTCATATTTTGAATGTATTCACAGATTCAAACTATCAGTAAAGCAAAAACAGAAATAGCTTATATTGATTCAAATAATAAAGAATTTTTCTTAACTTTCCTTATAAATATATTAGAGGCTTTACAATAATCTGATACAGATATAGAAAACTATGATTTAATGTCAACCAAATAGCCAAAATTCTAAAACTAAAAAAATATATTAATCAAGACATAGCAGATGATATATTAAAAATATATTAGATAAATGTCCTGCCAGGTGAAAAACTTGTTTTAATAGTGTAAATATGTTAAATTTTATGTATTCAAATATAAGGAAAATGAAGAAAGCTGAAGTGATAAAGAGTTTGTTTAACATTAATATCATTAATTTCTATAATCTTGATTATACGAGATATTTATCTAATAGCTACAACAAATATATTACAGATCAATTTTGAAATAAGAATAGTAATACTATCAATTTTGCTAATAGAAAAAAATTGATAAATTCATTGTAAATTGTGAAGAACAAGTTCTGGATTATTTTATGAAATAGACAATTTGAAGAATCTAGAAGAATGTTTAGTTAAAATCAAATAAATATTTCTATTGCATCAAATGATCTTATCTATATACAAAACCTATTTTACCACTTTTTTATTTATATAAAAATGACTTTTTAACTCAAACTATATTTGAAGGTGAATTTAATTCATATATTTGAACGCCATTATTGAGAAATGCATTTCTTAGCAAAAATAACTTTAAGCTAAACTATAAGAAACTGGCATCTGAATCGTATAAGAAGTTAAAAGAACTTCTGGATATCAGTAGCTGTAATGAACTGAAATTAGATGGAAAAGGCTTACTCAAGTTTTTGGAAATTGAAATTTTAGTTCAGAAGGACAGTATTTTAAATATATAGGGTAAAAGAAAGACAATTTGCAAAAACTAGAATATTATTTAAAGGTCATTTTAACAACTTTGTTTTTCACTTTACCTTTAACTGCTAAAAGTAATATCATAAATATTAAAACATACAGTCTATAATCAAATAGATTTTATCTAACAATCTCTATATCAAAGTATCTGTTTAAAGATACTGTCATAATAATAGACTTGTAAAATATGAAAATCCCATGAACTGTCAAAGGTTTCTTAAATTTAATAATGGTTGTAAAAGTTATTTATCTTGAAAGGTACGTACTAGAAGAAATATAATAGCATTCTATAAAGCACTAAAGAAAGATCATAAATATTTAATAAATGATATTCATTTTTTACCTAAAAAGATAGGATCAAGATTTTGCATTACATAGTTATTAATATCATCACATTCTGTTTTTTTTCTTTAACCAATTTATGCAGGAAAAGTAATATAATATGTAAATAAAATTACATGATAATTCTTTATGAATTAAGCTCATTCAATTGATTTAATTTTTCTTAATCTGTGTGATAAATTGATATATGCACGTAAATTCTAAAACTTAATATAAAAAATTACTAGCTAGTTACATTAATGAATCGCAATAAGACTTCAAATAAAAAGAATTTGCATCAGATTTTTACATAATTTTAATAGTTATATCTTACAGAATATAGTCTAATGATCTTTTTGAATACAGTCATGTAAATTTTTTATGCAGATTACATAAGTTTTAATAAGACTTGATTATCATCAGATTAAGATGAGTCTTATGATGTTAATTAATCAGACTGTTAGAATTTATATAACCTATATAATATATACCCAATAAATCTTCGCAAAAAATTCTATTATTTTAAATTTAAAAAACAAATAAACGTTACATGATTGTAATAAAATTTTTTTAGAGAAGAATAAATTTTATATCAAAATAATTTTTTTTATAAAACCATTATTGGGATGAAAAAGTTTTTCACTTCATGCATTTTTATAAAATATTTTGATTTCTGACTATTTCACTACATCATACAGCTATATGTATCAGTACTATCTAATTAATCCTAATATTTAATAATTTGCTGCAAGAAAGCTTTATTTTTTTTAATTGTAATAATATATATATTTTAGAATTTATTGTTTATATATGTATATTACAGTATGACATAATAATTATTATAATAATTAACATTAATATTTTCTTCATATTTTAATAAAATTATTTACTGTGAAATTACTTATTATAATGAATATAGTGAATGGGAAAAAAAAGTTTTATTATATGATGATATTGATCACAATAAAGCTTCTATGATGTTAAAACTAATTATCAACTCAAATAATTTTAGGCAAGTTACTGGACTGTGTGGTTCAATAATTAGAATCTAAATTTATATAATTGAGCTAAAAATAATATGGCTGTACTCAAAAAAATTGTCAGACTATACTTTATAAGAATATACTTCAATTTTGATAAGCTCAAACAAGCTTATCCAGACTTTACTATCAGAAAAAATAATATATTTTTTTATATATTTTGTATATGCATTTTATTCATAATTATTTTCCTGAATTTCTATTATATTTATAAATTTTTATGTATAATGTATCCAGCTACTCAGAAAATAATTTAACTATTATATCAGATTTAGCTGATCCATAATGTCAGGAAAAACTACATAAATTTGAATGCTAAATCCTCTAATATCAAATAAATGAATTTAATATTTTATTATAATATCCTTGTTATAAACTGCTATATTACTATAAATCTCTTAATCATTAAAATTATTACAAACTGCTTATTTGTTAAATAATTCTAAATATTGATTTAGATAGTAGAGCCTATTCTAAGCTAGTTAAAGTAAACTATAATAATGTAAATTTTGAAGAATATAGAAGAATAGTTAATGTATTAGGCTTTTATATAATAGATATGATCATGAAATACCAGAAATCTAATGCTCTTGTATTCATGATTCATTTAGAAAAATACTAGAAGAGAACCCAAAAATTCTTTCTAAGAATAAATATATTACAATATATGGAAAGTTTTATGAAGGTGATAGGAATTATGATCATCTAATAAATTATATATATTATAATGTATACAATTTCTTAGTTTTTATATCTAAAAATAGTTGTAGAGTTAATTGCTATTGAGATAATCACTTTAAGAACTATATTAATAAAAATATTATTTCAAAAGAATATGTAATAAGAATAGAAATTCTCTAATCTATTGATAAAAAGAAGTTTAAAATTTGACAATATAAATAATAGATATTAGAAAAAGAGGTAAAAATGAAACGTCTCTAACTGAAGCTTTTATTTTAATCTACTTCATACTCAGAAAAGGATAAATTGGTATCAGTATTATATAATAGTAATTGCTATTTATCTACCTATGAAATATATATGTAAGTTAAGGTAACTATAGCAAAAATATTATGTTTAGTACTTCAAATTTTGAGTCAACTTATATTTCACCTACTAGGCAAGAAATGATTTCACCAACTTTTTATCAATTATCAAGGTATTTATCTGTAATAAACTATATCACAATTAAAATATTTATCTCATCTTAGTATGCAAAATAAAATAACTTACTATCATCTATTAAACTATTTTAATCAATTCCTATTAAGATTAAGAGATAGAATAAAAATTACAATTGTTTAATCAGTTTAACTGACTGATTCTAAAAAATATTTAATTATAGACATTTATCTCAATTATATTTATAACTTATTCATAATATGGGTTGATTGCTAGGAAAATCAGGTTCTGGGAATTTTTTAACAAAATTGAGATTTTTATTGCATTTTAGTTTTTGATGTTATTAGATTAAAATGTATTAAGCTCTTAATTTAAGTGAAAATTTCTCAGAACCTGATTTTTCTAGAAACCCTTCCATATAATTTATTTTTTTGTAAAATTAATAATTATATAATCTGCATGTATAATTATCTAGTGAATATATTTTACTTTGGGTTAAATTCTCTAATCTATAAATATTTTAATAAAGTATTTTTTAAAAAGTTCAGAAAGATCAATAAAATGATTTTAGAAATTCTTGATTCTTAAATAATACTATCAATATAACTAAAAATTTCTATGTAAAGATCACAAGAATAGCAGTTGAGAATTTTATAACTAAAGAATTATGTATCAAACAAAACACAGAACTCAAATATGATGCAAGTAGCATAGAAATAAATTTGTGAGAGCTATCTATATAAAATGTAAGGGTTTTTTCATTTTGAAATAATCTATAAAAATCCATTAAGGATGAATTAATACTATTATTTGAGAATAAATTAGAGATTGTTTAATAAGATAGAAGGAGGATACATTGTCATATAATGTTATTTTGCATAATCTATGACAAACCAAATATTTCTTTTAATAAGGTACAGTTTATTATCATTAATAGAGATGAAATAGATAACTTCTATAACTTGAGGTAGATTATTATCAATGACATTATTATAGGATTAGGCTGTGACTAATACATTAAAGTTTAGAATAGGTTCCTGTAAATTAAAAGAATATTCTAAATATGAAGTAAAGATATTTTACTTTTTGAAGACCAATTTAAAATTATAATTAAAAGCTAAATTATTATTTAATATTGAATTATAACTTTATTAGAGATAAAATAAGATTTAACAGCTTTTTCAATAATATATTGTTTAGGATAAGGTAAATTATAATAATTCTATTTTGGTGGTATCCATAAAATAACCCAAAAACTTTTTTTCTTATTATCAGCAGGGGATGTAGTAATAAATCCTTAGAAAATAAAATTATCTAGATAATATTCTAGTTTAAGACAACTTGATTGTATAGAGTTTAAAAGAACAGTTTATTGTAAAGCAAAAAATTATCCTGAAATGGCTCCACTATTGAATTTATTGGTTTTAAGAAAAAGATCATAATATTCCATTAAAAAATTTCTTTGTTTAACAAATTGGTCTAGGAAGAGGGTTCTGTATAAGGTTGTTGAACGAAATCTAGAGATTTTGCAAGTTGTCTAAATGGAAAAAGGTAAAATTTAGTAAAATTATATTAAAATCTTATTAAAAAATCTGCGAAATTTTGAAAAAGGTAAAACTATATCAAAGCTTTTAAAAATGTAAAACTATATCAAAACCTTAGTAAAAATTAGTGAAACTATAGTTTAAACATTTTGTTAAATCTAAAATGAATTTAGACAAGCA